TTTTCAACACGTGCCCTTGTTTCTTGATCATACGAGACAGTTGACCAATATTGCCAGTTTAACAGTAATATTTATGCTTTTTAACGGAACGAGTGAAATTTCAGCACTGTTAAAGAGGTGAACAATTCACATTTTCAGTTTAAATCCCTTGATAAGGGAGAGTTTCTACCCTTGTCACCCTTACCATTCTGTCGGAAAATCTCCATGAGGTCTCGATAATCACGCCAAACCGCCCTCTCTTCTAAACGCATCATTTTTGTTTGTTTTTAAGAAAGGCGAGATAAGAAATGAGCAACCAAATCAGCCTGGTTGACAGGGCTAATAATTATATTAAAGCCCTCCAAAGATCTCACATAAAAATTGTCCACACTATCTGCCCGATACTCCCTCTGATATTAGCTCTGAAAATTTGATCTTTGATCAAACAATATCCTTTCTTTGTTATTTTGCCTTCTTTTTATCACCTTTTTGCATATACAATAAATGGAGAAATAATTTTTTGGCCACTCATGGGAATAAAAGGCAAAAAAATCTCTTAATTTTCCTTTATTTCGTCGAGACGTTAAGACAATTCGGTCACAGGATGTCCTTGACAACCAGCTGCTGATATGCTAAGATATCGCGTTGTTATTGTAAGTCGGTACTTTTTATATCACGACGATAGTAAGAATGTAGGCCAAAATAAGAATAAACTGTGGGAAATTTGTTTCATAGTGTTGTTCGTTGTTCAAGATGCGAAGAGATGAAGACACCTTGGACACAATCGGACTAGCCTTGCACAACAGGCCTCATTTGATTTCTTTCTTGTCCATCTTTCTTTCTTTTTTTTTGCGTTGTTTTTAGGCGAGTTCAAACCCTCCCTTCGTGCGTGTATTGCCGCTTGCCTTTGGTCGCCTGAAAAACCAGACATGTCAATAAGTGCCGGTTGCTGACTTAAACCGCCGGATAGTCTGCCATCTTTGATCGGCTGCTTTCAACCCATTTTTTTTTTAACCGTAATTGCCGACGAAATATTTTTGAAACACCGTCAAAGGAATTTGTACAGCAGCCATTTTTCAGTTTGCTCAGAATTGAAAGCACAATCTATCACTAACAGGTTACCAAGTGAGAATCGACTGCATTTTTAGAACTTGCGAGTTTCATAGAACAACTAGGACATTCTACTGATAGTCCCCTATCTTCGACTTCGTTACGCTGTAGTATCACTGGCAGACCACACTATGTCTTCGAGTCTAATTTAGATATGCAATTTTCGGATCTTTATTCATAACCCTCATAGATTTTGTTGGGGTCATGATCATGAGCACAAATAAACCGCGAACACACAGTTTGTTCTATTTGTAATAATTATACCTCGATTAATTGTAAATTTAACACAGAAGCGCTCCATGGTAGTCTGCCTTTGGTACTGTCCACAATAAACTGATCACTATACGTATGATGCACGATCCTCGCAGTAGATAGTGCATCAGAGGATCGTGCATCATGCGTATCTAATACCGCAGTTCAAAATATATGAACTTCATATATTCATTGTAACCAAACTGATCACTACTACATTGTATTTAGTGTTGTTTACGTTCTTCCTTTAAAATTCATAAAAACCCTGAAAACTAGAATAAATTGACACCCTTTGTACTGTCTTCAATCGATCGTAAACAGAATGTCTTCGAAATAATTTGGATATTTCAACAAAGTTGAAGTGGTAAATTGGCCACCGTAACGATTACAAAAGCTGACGTTTCGAGCGTTAGCCCTTCGTCAGAGCGAATAGAGGAATTGTGGGTTGTGTGTGCTTTTAAAGGCAGAGAATGGAGCTTCGAAACTATCAGCCTTTATTCAGAATGTCTTCGAGTTGAGTTAAGCTAAACCTGTAGGGAATTTCCTGTTTACGAGTCTGTATAAGATTTTTTAAGACACCTGATAGTGAGTAAGTCCGATCAATTAACTGCAACAGGAAGAGTAAGAGTGAAACAAAATGGGATTTACTTAGTATAGTGTTGAATGTCACTAGAAACTTAAACACAGACATAATAGTTGGCTACGTTTAAGCCCCTTTGTTTATATTGGGAATGGGTTTACAATGAGTCGGGGCACAATTATCTTTGGTTCTCTTGACATGGGATCTAGAAATGTCTTCCCACGACATTTTTGTAAAAATAACAAAGTTTTAAGGCATCTCGAGCTGTTGATAGGTAATCCAAAGCGACTAGCGCATTGGAAGTCAAACTAGTCCAGCGCAGGCGGCCAAGACTCAAGTCGGTTGAGATGATTTCCTTTTTTCCTTGGAGCTGAATTTTCAGAAAAAACGCATGTGAAGGCAGACCAGTCAAAATCTCATGAATTCGTTCCCGTTCGATTGCGTCAAGGATGAAGAGAAGCCAGCACTTAAAAAACAAATTCTGATAACCATCTTTCATTACATTAGAGCTGTTTCACATCCGACACACATGCGTTAGAACACACGATTCGCGCTCGGCAGCATATAAAAATCTTGTGTAGATACTTTTCATATTCACAAAGATTTGTAGGGGAATAAAAAACGGCTTAAAAGAACGAAAGAACAAAAGGAATCCACGAAACATGGTATAAAACCTTAAAAGATTGAAGTGGATTGTAATTAAATAGTTTAAGGTTATTGTGCAAGTCATCAGTTACCAAGAAGCCGTGCTTGGAGACAGGCATGCACACTGCCGCCCTCTTATCTTCTTGACTTCTTTTGATCGGCAAAATGCGATCCATTAAGCCTGATTGAAACAATATTTCCTAAGTGGTTGTAGTTTAAATTACTGAAAGCCTTAGGGAATATCATCACTGAGAGAGGAACGACCGTCGTTAGCGATAACATGGAACACTTCTCGTGCTCAACGGAAGTTCAAACACAAATTTAGTATTGCTCAACGAGGAAGAGAAAACTAAAGTGGCTTTAATTAAGAGAAAAGGATCCCGTCGTCCTGTCGCCGTCCCGTCACAACAAAAGGAAAACCAAAAAACTTGGTTTTGATATCAGCGATAGAAGGAAGGAATAACTAACACAAAACGAGAATAGCTAAAGATGGGAAAGATTGGCACAGATTGACACAGATTGCAAATGACGAACTGAAATACAATGAATCTTTTAGTGTTTTAAGATGCAATAAGCGTGATGCGGTTCAGTGAAGCACTGTAGTGGAGCCATAACACCGAACCTTCCCTTTTTTCTCTCCACTTTAATAGATTTCTACAGCTTATGTGCAAACTTTCCTTCTGAAAGTCCTTGTTTTTTTTTCCTCTTGGATTTCTATAGCTTGTGTGCAAAATTTCCGTGTCTCGCTGTGTTTCTAACAGTAGGAATGGATCACTTCTGTTTTGTCATGTTATGTTCTTCCCTTCGGGCAAGAAATTGTGGGTTATCTGAGAAATGGTAAAAAGCTTCTCGACTCAATCACTCTTCAACTTTCTTAATCACGTTGCTAATCAAATTTGCTAGAGTTCCACTACCCCGCTGGGCTGTCTATCGAGATCACGCGACAAAATCTTCTACCATCATTTTGTTCGGACTGCAAATCAGTCGATTTTACAAGTTACACTCGCATAAATCAAATCCCTTTAAATCGTTTCTGGTCTATAAATATTTATCACCATCGTTTGTCAACTGAATATTGGATCACTGAATTCATTGGTTTATTTCATGTAGTTAGTTCTGAATCATAACTAATGTTTATTCAATTCATTTATTTAGATTTGTTCTTACTTTTTGGCCACATAGTTCTATGCCGTGCGTATCGTGACTTTTTCTCCGTCAATCATCTCTCAATTAAACTTCTCCTCATTCTATTCAAACGTGCATTCACTTGGAAGTGAAAGCTTCTCCTGAGTCTTTTTAAAAGACGTACGAGTAGTACCATCATTTTTCTTTGGAAAGTGTTCTTAAAAAAATCTGCGGAAGATATCAGGAACAGTGAATCAGCTGTGAAGGCATAATTACGCTCAGTCGATAGCCCGAAAGAAAAACCTCGTGGGGTGTTATCAAATGACCAAAGGGCAAATTTCATGGTTATTTTTTAAAAAGATGTTGGTCACGGTTTTCGATTATCTTTTCTAAATCTGCCCGTATTTGAAGACTTCTCGCTTCGGTGTAATATTTCAGCGACTTCTCTTCTCTTATTACCTCGCTATTTACAGAGATTAACACTTAGCAGATCCGAAAAAATTTAGAAACAAACACCCAGGAAACATTCAACAGCAATAAAACGGAGTGTCAAAATCTATTTAAGAATATGGACGTCGAAGTTTCATTGTAGAAAATTCGCGCCTCATGAAAGCAATCGACATTGACCGCAACATATTTCTCATGATTCTATCGACTATCTCCTGTTATCTCGGATTGAAGACAGCAGATCTACCAAACTCCCGCTGAAAAGTGACTCAGTGCTGAACGAAGAGTGGCCACTGACACAGTTTGAGTTTATCTAGATCTTGTCTAGTCGAAAGACTCGACAATCAGCTGTCATAAGTATTTCTTAAGTATTTCTACGTCATTTGTATTTCAGAGAAGGCTGGTTACCGTCGAAGTTTCAGTTTATCTTTAGTTAGGTCGAGTCGAAAGGCTCGACAGTTAGCCGTCACAAGGATTACATGTTATTTCTCGAATGATCTTGATATCTGTAGGAATTTAAATACATAATCCTTTATAAATCTTACTAGTTTCTGGCAAACTTCGCAGCGGGACTTAAAATGCAATTTTAAACCATAAAGCCCTGCTCAGAGGCATTTCCCGACGTATTAGGCCTTAAACAAACCAAGGACTGTACTACACTCGAGGTTTAATGTTCATTTGATCAGTTTTGCCATAACAGCGCTAACAATAACAACACAAGTTTCGATTGAACCGAAAATGCATAAAATCAACGTCATAGTTTATAAGAAATAATTATCAGCGAATTCATCATTGAGTTTGTTGAGGTGAACAAGCAATATCACATGGCACTAAAAATTATACGTAATACAACAACACTTACAATGTATTCCTGATGTCAAAAGCTGAATTTCCATTAAATGTTCGTCTTTCTGCAACAAATCCTTCACTAAGACACATCTGATTATGAGTAGAAACTTACATGTGCGGCGAAAAAAATCCTTAACTGACTCCGATCCACGTAACAAGCACTGACAGAAGAAGCCTATGTGATCTGCGTTGGGCTGTTTCGGAAATGATTTGCACGAGAGACCCCCTAGGGAGACCCACGCTCTGGTCACGGCAGTTACTTAGTCACGAATACTCGAAGCCGGAACCGATCTTACAAATATCGTACAGTTTTATCCACCAAAATTCGCTTACCTTTCAATCGCGCTCACAGGCCCTTAACCATTGTTTTTGTCCATGTAGTATTCTTGTTTTACATTTTCCCCAATTAATCCAATCGTGCGCGGATTAAATAACCTTGATCTGAAAAGATCCGTGCTCGCGTTTTTTTTTTTTGATGGGGGTGAAAAATATCAGAACAATAATTGAGGGAAATTCCTGGCGAACAATAATTTATGTGGCATGATGTTGCATCCCAAGATAAAGTTATGTTTCAATTTATGTGTTTATAACTTTTCTTTAAATACACAAACATTAGTTCTTGCTATTGAGACTAATAGCTGTCATTTTCAGTTTGTCCGAAGTTGCAATATCATAATTTCTCTCAAAGCAACGATATTTTCGCGCATAGATTTACAATTCGACATTCCAGCCTGGGCCGCCTCAAACCGCAATGACTTTCTGCTTTTAGTTTGCCAAGTTCAGCTAACCAAATTAATTACAGACAATTTTTTTAATTATGACAAGGGATTAACAAATCCGTGTTTTCCCACATCTGATAATTATGATTTCGTTATTTTCATTTGTCTGGCGATTAATTGGTTTCCAAGGTGCTGCATTTGGCTTTTAGCGGCTCATTGTCATAAATAGCTCGAAGCTAGAAAATATTAATTTAGCACACCACCCGTTGTCAAAGACGTAGAGGGCAAATGAAACAAGTTTTGTCACAGTTAAATTAGAAAAATTTTATACATTTACGAACTAAGTTGATCTAAATTTCACTTTCACCGTTTTACCTTTTTCTAACTAACGACAAACTTTCATCACGATCCATTAAAAAAAAAAAAAAAAAAAAAAAAAAAAAAAAATAGAAATTAGCCGTGGCCTGGTCAAGAACAAACACGGCAAGATGATGATAAACGAAAAAAAGACAATAAAGGACTTACCACCATGAAAGATTTCTACGTAAGTGAAAAATATAAATTTCACCCTGTTATTTGACAATAAAAGCGGTAATGGTCGGCCATACAAAAGCTATGTCAATCAAATGATTTCACAATTCACTGAACCTGAGAAAGAACTCAAAGGAACAGCGACAAGCTGAGCGTGTAAAGTCACGCGGTTTGCGGAAAAAACCGACTACAACATTAAATGTGAGTTCGTTTATCAGTTCCGTTTCTGAACTAAGCCGCCGTTCGCTGGAAGGAATGATTCTCTTAACTATCGCGTCGATATCTTAGATATTATCGCGTCGATATCTTAGATATTATCGGTTCACGTTATATTGTTGTTATACAGTTTCGCACTTAGAATTTTAAAAAATAAAACAAAGCACAAATGTGACAAGTTGTTATTATTGCCCAGTGTGAAAGAAAGTCCATCGTCGCGTCTTTACAAATGACTGTGCACACATTAGTCTTATTCTTAAGATTACTTACCTCACACGACTCTTCTTGATCGCAACTTTAGCAGTGGAATCACAATCTTCCTTTACTTAACGTGTAGTCGACCCTTCCCAAGTTGATCTCGACCTTGAAGGTCTAGTAGTTTGAACTCCAAAACGATGTCGATCTTTTGACGAGAAAATGGGTTTAACCCAATCAATCCACGGAAAATTTAACTTTCCTGTTCAATTAACGTAACAAACAGCTAAGCAAGGATGATATTTGGCTTGAAGTCCGAGCGGACTTCCAAACTACCCTGTTCTCAGCGAGTGTCCATGAAATATAATCCTGTTCCAAAATTGCATTGATTCATGGGAACACAACCTGCCGGTCATGCAGAGAAGGCCATTACATGAAGTAATTCAGTTTAAAGACCCTGTAACATTAGCCTGTTTCAATGGAGGTGAACCTTGGCAAAAAAAAAGAAAAAAAGAAAAAAAAAAAGGCGCTGCATATTCTGTGCTAATTACACTGTTCGATCACCTCTTAAATTCATGCGTTGATTCTCAGAGGTTTTCTTTGTATTGTATCAAGTAGTAGATATTGCATTTGCTGTTGAAAAGCATATATGTTACTGGCGGAGCTTGTGTAAAATTTCGTATTTTCCGTTCGAGATTTGCGGTATCTTCAGACAATTTAGGATAGCATGATAAATCCATAAAGCCATAACCTTCTTCATCTCGTCTTCGATAAAACCACATCTAGATCTTCAGCTGTTGGGTTGATACAAGTTTACTGATTTCTCAAGTTTCTGCGAACTACAAGAAAATTGCAGGACAACTCAGGGGATAAGATGATTTGTGTGCTTCTAAGACAAAGAGCACTCAAACTTTAGCGATAGCGGATAAAACAACCTTGTTTTCAATTCAAGATTTCGGTAGCAAATAAAAAGCTGTTTTTATCTTGTCGGTGTAACATTAAGAAACAGAATTCTTCCGTTT